AATCCATGAGCTACAGGTTCAGTGAGAGACTTTGTCTCAAATAAGGTGGAGAGCAATTGAAGCCACCCACATCAACCTCTGGCCTATACACACACACACACACACACACACCCCTCACATACACAGAAATAGAAAATAAATCATTTGATCCCCAGCACGTGAAGCCAAGGTAAGAATCCTAATTGGAGAATGGAAAATTTAATTATCCATGATATAAAGAGGCTCTCAGACTTTTCCATTGCTGCCATCCTGGGTACCTTCAAGATAATGTGGTTTTGTGGGACTGGAGAGAATTGCTCAGTGGTTAAGAGCACTGAATGCTGTTAAAAGGACTTGGGTTTGTTCTCACCCAAATAGTGACTAACAACCATTTGTAACTCCAGTTCCAGGAGAATCTGGCACCCTCTTCTGATCTCCATAGGCATTACATGACATGGGTGCACTTATAGACATGCAGGCAATACACTCATACACATAAAATAAAAATAATAAATAATTTTTTAAGGCATGAATAAGAACACAGGACTATTGAATTTCTCTGACCCAGGCCCTTACCTCTCTTCTCATTTGTTTGAAGTAAGTCCTCCTTGTTCGTAATCACCATGTGTACTGAATTCCATGTATTCTGCCAGCAGAGCATCCTTTTTAAACTCCCTTGGAACCACTTTTCCATCATTCACAGCTCTCTTTTATACTTAGTGCTTAGTATAGACCATGTCTTCTCTAAGAAGGCCTCTCCAGGACTTTTAGACAAGGCAAAAGGCTTTGTCTCTCTTCTTAGAGTATCGCTTGACATTCTCCACTAGCATGTATCCATTAAAATATCTACTATGAATCTTTTCTATTTGACTTTAACTTCCTTAGGCCAGAAACTAAGTCTTATTTTTGTATCTATTCCTAGCACCCAATACAGTCCCTAATAAATAGGAAATATGTAATAATAGGTTTCTTGAACTGGCTGAAAAAGATTGCCTACAAAGCATGTACTCTCTTCCCAAGAAAGCCAATAATATCTTAGGGAAGATGTTAAAAAAACAAGGTTTCATTAAAATGACTTCCAATTAGGATTTGTATTTTTCTATGCTGTGAGTTCCCAGAAGCAATAAAATTTCTGGAAGGAAAATGTGCTGTATCTTGCTGTTAATTTTTTATCTTGATATACCTCATTATCAATGAATATACACATTGATTAAGAAGTTTGAGAGCTTCCCAATGGACTCTCATATGAACATTTGAAATTTGCCCTATTCTGACTTTTCTTTAGTTCCCTGTCTGTAACTTGTAATGACAATTACTCTTGCCTTCACTCTTCTTTCACATCTCCTATTCACCAGTCAAGGACTTTCTTTTCCCCCTATAGGTAAGAGATATGTAATTTGGGAGCCTTTTAGATTGACCCACTGAAGGGGTACGGGAGTCTTTTAGATAGACCCACTGAAGGGGTACCCCACTTGCCTCACCCTGGGTCCCTGTTCAGCATGGAAGAAGCCAGAGTGGTCTGAGTCCCAATTTCCTATCCACAAGCTGGGTAACCCAACCTGCGTCCCTCTTCAGCATGGAAGAAGCCAGAGCAGTCTTCCCAATTCCCTACCCACAAGCTGGGTAACCTCTTCAGAGAGGTTGACTTTTAGCTCCTTGGCTAAAAGTCAAAATGTCTTTGGGCCTGTTAGCCAAAAATGTCAAAAGTATTTGGGAGCTCTTACCTAATCCTTAAAGATTTTAGGGTTACCTCTTCAGAGGGGGGAATGTTAGAGTAGCAAAAAGCCCCATTTAAAAAAAAGAAGAAGAAAATGTACATGAAGTTATCAGAAAAAAGTGATGGGGAGATATGAGAGGTGTTGGAGGGGAGGGAGTGGGCATGGATTTGATCAAAACACCCAAAAATGGAACCAGGAGCCAGGAATGGTGACACGGAGTTGGAGGGGAGGGAGTGGCCATGGATTTGATCAAAACACCTTACATGCTTATATGCCTGTTTGAAATTCTCAATAAATTATTTTTTTTCAAGTCTTCTAAACTATAAAAAAACTTATTAAAAGGGCATCGGATTTTGTATAATGTCTTTTCAGTATCTATTGTGATAGGATCATGTGAATTTTCTTCTTAATATGCTGAATTAAATTGGTTGAGTGTTGAGTGTTGAACCAACCTTGAAGCCATGAACTGAATTCCACATATATATATATAATTATCCTGCTTATGATGTATAATCCTTTTTATATAATGATGAAGAATTCTTTATTATAATTTTTATTTATGTGTATAAAAAATAAAAGAAGTGTGGGGGCTGGAGAGATGTCTCAGTGGCTAAGGGCACTGGTTGCTCTTGCAGAGAACCGGGGTTTGATTCGCAGCACCCATATGGCAGATAACAACCATTTATAACTCCAGTTCCAGGGGAATTGGATTCCCTCTTCTGACCTCTGTGGGAATTGCACGACATGGGTACACTCACATATATGCAGGTAATATACTCATACATGTAAAATCAAAATAATAAATAAAATATTTTAAAAATAAGTTTAATAAGCCCCTTGCCCCTAAATATGTTTTTAATATTTGTTCTACTATCCTGGGAACAGATCTGTATTTTAATTAAGCAAACTATTCCACCACTTTAGTTTATAGATAGGAGAGGGTGAGTTAGTAGTTACAAGGACTTGCCAAAGGTGACATTGTAAGAAGATACAAGAGCATTTCTGTTCTAGATCAAAAACTCACACAAAGAAGAGGTAGGGTAAGGCATAGTGACACACAACTATAAATCTGAGCACTCGGGAAAATGAGGATCAAATGTTTGAGGTCAGCCTGGGTTACATAGTGAGTTCCTGGCTAGACTAGAGAGCATAGAAAGACCCTGTCTTTAAAACGGGCAGGGGGTAGAAGAGGAGGAGGACCTAGGGTAAGGAGGAATGGCAATATGGTAATGACTTTGATTTAGCTTTTGGCTCCAAGAAAGCTTTTGAGTTTTAGAGTACATCTGTCCCCCTCCTCACCGGTATAATCTGTTTTTTGGGCTTTTTTGTTTTTTGTTTGTTTGTTTTCTTTACATAGTCTGTCTTCTAAGAAAAAAGAAAGAAAGAAAGAAAGAAAGGCTTGCAGAAAGAGCACAGATAGCCAGAGAACCAATAGGGACTTTGTTTTGTTTTGCCGTATCCAAACTCTTCAGTTGAATAAAAACTATATAATAAAATATTCATACAAGGGCTGAAGAGATGGATTAGTGGTTAAGAGTGTGCACTGCTCTTGCAGAGGACTCAAGTTCAGTTCCTAGAACCCATGTCAGGTGCCTTGCAACCACCTGTAACTCTAGCTCCAGGGAATCTAACACTCCCTTCTAGCCTCTGTGAGGCCACTAACTTGTCAGTTTCTTTCTGATCAATTCTCTATAATATGCAGTTGTAATATAAATAAATTCTCTCTGCCCATCCTTGAAAGTCTTTGTTTGAAATGAGTAGGAAATTTTCACTTACCAAGAAGAAAATACTTTTTAGTTATTACATGCTGATCCCTGTTCATTGCACATCCATCATCTTAACCCTAAACAATGAGTGGAAACTTGGGATAGGAAGCCATATCAGGGTTGAGAGAGGAAGCTGTGGCTAAATGTTATGGTTTAAATCTGAAATGGTTATGGTTTAAGTACCCACCTGGTGGTACTGTGTTTGGAGAGCTGTTGAACCTTTAGATGGTGGGACCTAGCTGGTGGAAGAGGTCACTGATGTGGAGCTTTGAAGGTTATACCTAGCCCCTACTTCCTGTCCCTTTCAGCTTCCCAGTCTGCGGTGAGGTAAACAGCTTCCCCTACAGGCTTCACTTGCCATGCTCTGCTGCTGTGAGCCAGAATACATCCTTCTTCCCTTCAGTTATTCTGTCAAGTATTGTGATTATCTATGTAAAAGAAAGTCATACAACAAATGTTATCAGAAAACAACAGCGTACTGCCTATTCCCTTTCTATGACTTTTTCCTCAGTTTCATCACATTCACTGATCATGCTACAGTGTAATTGCTAGAACTAGACAGAGACTATTGGGCATGTTCATTACTGAAGTAGGATCCAATTCTGCCTTGAGTCCTAATTGCAGACGTCCTTGTCATCCTAGGATACAGAAGCCCATTGACCTGTCTGTGATCTCTCTCTTCTAGTGTATGGGCTTCAGCATGGCAGATCTGAGAACCATTTTGCAGATCACGCAGAGTCTCTCTCTCCATGTGTGTGTGTGTGTGTGTGTGTGTGTGTGTGTGTGTGTCTGTCTGTCTGTCTGTCTGTCTGTCTGTCTGTCTCTGTGTGTGTGCATTAGAGCTAGAGTTGGAAGAGGTGTGGTTACAATTTCATATATGCTATTTTTCTCCTGTTTACCACAATATTTCTAGTATTTTTAACATGGCATTGGTGTTAAATATGGCACTAGGTACCTTGTGGACTAAACTTATTAAGTGTCTGAGTACAATATATAAAAAATTTGAGGAAAGTCTCTACAAGTGAAGCCGTGCATAAGCCGAGTTTTCTGAGAGAGCACAGCAAAATGGAGTTTGTTTTGCCCTAACCTAGGCCTTCTGTTTAATGAAAGCTATATAATAAAACATCCACACATATGTTGTGCTAGCTACTCTTTGCCATTTTTCTATTAAATTCCTTGTACTATGTAACTCTAATGTAACTACATATTACCATATATATAACATATATATACACATATACATATATATTGTTTTTTGTCTTAGTTTGGTTTGGTTTTGAAGTTTCTTGAGATGGGATCTTACTATGTAGCCCTTACTGGCCTGATACTTACTCGTTTAGCCCAGGTGGCCTTGAACACATAGTAGCCCTCCTGCCTCAGTCTCCCAAAGTACTGGGGTTACATTCAGGCACCACCGTGCCTAGCTCAGAAGTTGCTTTTAAGTGTTTTTCGGAGTTGATTTTTTCAAAAGAAACTATGGTAACCTTTTATGTCATTGTACTGTAAGTGGCGCCTGCTTTGCTTTTGTTTATCTCAGGAACTACCTCCATATAACGGCTATGGACTAGTTGAAGACTCTGCTCAGAATTGTTTTGTTCTCATTCCAAAAGCTCCAAAAAAAGACGTTATTAAACTGCTGGTGAATGACAACAAGGTGCTCCGCTATCTGGCTAAGCTGGTGAGATGAATTTTATTCACTAAGATCCTTTTCTACCTCAGTACATTGTGCAATTGTCCCTTTTGTCTGTAGGCTATAGAATAGTTTCAAGAAGGTTACTTGGTGTTAGGTATAGTGCCTCTGAACCACGACTCCTCTCCAATCCCATCTCCCTGTGAAACTTTCCTAGATCTATAATATCTTCCGTCCTCACCTCAATTATTTAAACTTTTAAAAAATTATTTATTTTTTAAATTTTATTTGTATGCGCTATTGCCTGCATATAGGTAAGTGCACCTGTGTTGTGCAATGCCCATGGAGGCCAGAAGAGACTGTCAGATCCCCTGCTACTGCAGTTACAGACAGTTGTTAGCTGCCATGTGGGTTCTGGGATTCGAACCTAGGTCTTCTGCAAGAACAACCAGTGTTTTTAACCGCTGAGCCATCTCTCCAGCCCCTCACCTCAATTCTTTAAAAGAATTATTTTATTTTTAACTATGTGTATGTGTGTGCTTCTGTGGGGATGTACATACACAGGAGTGCAGCTGGAGTTCAGAAGAGGGCATAGGATCCCTTGTAGCTGGGGTTACAGGTGGCTGTGACTCACCTGACGTAGGTGCTGGGAATTGAGCTCGGGCCCTCTGCAAGAGTAGTACATGCTAAGTACTGAACCATATTTCTAGCCCCTACACCTCAAGTTTTGACAGTCTATCTTGCCTCTTTATTAAGCAATTGCAAATTTCTATACTATATTCAAGTCATTTGGGGATGTACCTTTCCAGGATACTGTGATTTTCTTAGAGTAGAGACCACTACTGGCACTAGCTGTGATAACTACATGGATACATTTTATACTTATTAAGTGTAGAAAATTGAATTATACTAGATTAATAGACACTTCTTTTAAGAGAAAAAAAAAATATATATATATAACAAATGACCTGACAACATGGAGTTTGGAAACAGACCTAAGTTCAAAATCAAGCTCAAGCAAAAAAAAAAAAACCAAAAACCAAAAAACAACAACAACAAAAAAACAAAACCCAAAAAACCTTGTCCACTACGTTTAAGGAAATAACACCCCCTTTTGAGGGGTGGTTACAGCTGGTTTTTGGCTATTTGAAGTTCTGAAACATATGAAACAGAAAAACCAGGGCTTTTTAAACAGCAATATGGAGTTTTCTTCTTTTGGAAAACTAGAAGATCTGACAACACTGAGTCCATAGTCCCACAAGGCAGCAATCAACTGGAGTTACTGCAACCTCCCATTGAGGTCTTCCCTCAATGACGCCCATCTGCCCTACTGTGGACTCTCAATACATGGCCTGCTTATATGAGTCCAGCTTGCTTCATTTATATCATATTCCTGGCCCCTACAGGTATTTTATTTTTGGGTGCCTAAACAGATCATGAACGTTCATATTATTTTTTCTTCATCTTTTTAGGAATCTCCCATCCTAGAAGACAAAGAGCGCCGATTTATCTTCTCTTACTTCCTAGCCACTGATATGATCAGTATCTTTGAGCCTCCTGTTCGAAATTCTGGTATCCTTGGGGGCAAATTCCTTGGCAGAACTAAAGTTGTTAAACCATTCTGCCCAGTGGACAACCCCATCTACTATGGGCCTAGTGACTTCTACATTGGTGCTGTGGTTGAGGGTAAGACTAAACATGGCTCAGAATTTCCCATAGGATGGGAAAATGTTCCAATTGAGATACTGCTAATGTTATTGTATTAATAGTGCCATTTCTTAATCTTCTTACCAGTTAAAGTCCAAACTGATTGCATTTGTTGATTCTACATTGTTGGTTCCATTAATTAGATGTTAACACTGAACTTCCGGAACCCTGAGAAAACTGCACATTAAATTATACAGCTGTTCAGAATTCATTAGTCTAACAAATGTGTATCTGTGGATTTATTATTAAAAAGATATTAATTCCTGATTACACTAGAGAAACATAATTGAACTAAGTGTACTGCTGCGCTCTCCTCAGTCTTTGGCCATCGGTTCATCATCCTTGATACAGATGAATATGTCATAAAATACATGCAGAGCAATGCTGACCAGTATTCACCAGAAGCCCTCGCCTCAATCCAGAACCGTGTGCAAAAGACAGATGTTCCTGCACCAGAGCTGGAAAAGTAAGTTTGACTGCCAAGGGTCCTTTTAGGATCTGGCACATAAAAGATACTTAAAAAGTAATTCCTCTGTGTGTGTTTGTGTATGTGTGTGTGTGTGATATGTATATGTAGTATATGTGCATGTGTATGTGTGAAGGCCAGAGGAGAACATTGGGTATATTGTTCTGTCACTCTTTGACTTGTTCCTTTGAGACGGGGTCTCTCACTGAACCTGGAGCTAGGCTGGTGGCTCCAGCCATCCTCCTTTCTCTTCCCCTCAAAGAGCTGGGTTGCATGCATCCAGCTTTGTTTTTTTTTTTTTTTTTTAATGTAGGTGTTGGGATCTGAACTTGGGTCCTCATACTTATTCAGCAAGTGCTTTTACCCACTAGGCCATCTCTTCAGTCCCCTTGGAAGTAATTCTTGTCAAATGAATGCATAATCACATTTTAAAATTTCAGATTCCTCTCACCATTTGGAAGTTATTAAACATAGAGGGTTCCTCAGATCCAACATAATAACAGCTAACTTTTCCAACTGTTATTCTTTTAGCAAATAATTATTGAATGCCTGTTATCTATTTCAAATGTTATCACTAGGCCACTGGTCTTATCAGTAAACAAAATAGATAAATTATTGCCCTTGTGGAGTTAACCTTAGCAGGAGTTGATAGACAGTGGCACAGGTAAATTACACAGTATATTTAGTGAAAAGTGCCATTTGGGTGGTAAGCATTTTATGGAGGTTGGCAGTGGTTTGTAATTGCTCAGGGTAGGTGGAGGCACCCTGAGAAGGTGACAGTGATCAGACCCTTTGATGATAAGGGACAGACGTGTAGAAGAGCTCTTCGGGAAGAGCGAATATTGAGGGCAAAGGCCCTGACTGGTAGCATGCCCAATCTAGCATGCTCAAGCAACAGGCAAGAAATAGTCGGAAATGGACTGAGTGAGGAGAGGAGGGATAAGTAGTGAAATGAGGAAATTACAAATGTGTATTTCTACTTTGTGTAGAATTGTGTAAGATCTACTGGGAAGATCTTTGGAAATATATGGACTTTTCTCTGAATGCAGTGGAGACCTGTTAGGAGTTTCTGAGAAGGGTATAAAATTGTCATATATACTTTAAAAAGACTGCTCTGACTGTTTTGTTGATAATAGACCAGAGTCAGATGTGGGAGTGCATACCTGCAATCCCAGTACTTAGGAGGTACAGGCAGGCGGATCAAGAGTTCAAGGCTAACCTCAGCTACATAGGGAGTTTGAGGCCAGCCTAAGCTATGCGAAACTCTGAGACACAACACACACACATACACCATGGAGGGAGGGAGGGAGAGAGAGAGGAAAGAAAGAAAAGGAAAGAAAAGAAAGAAAGAAAGAAAGAAAGAAAGAAAGAAAGAAAGAAAGAAAGAAAGAAAGAAAGAAAAAGAAATCATAAAGATTATTAACTATATACTTTTGGAGCAGCAATCCTACTTCCACCTCCCAGTGTGTGCACCACTACAGCTGGTTTATGTGGAGCTGGGAATGGGACTCAGGGCCTCCTGCAGGCTAAGCAAGTACTCTACCAATGGAGCCACAAAAGATAACAACTTTTGTAAAAAAAAAATAACTATATTTTCCTAAACAAAAACGATTGAGAACAGTTAACATTGTTTTACTTTTTTTGCTAATTTCTTGAATGTTTAAGCGCACCTGTGTCATGCAATGCCTGCAGAGGTCAGAAGAGGGCATCAGATTCCCCTGGAACTAGGGTTACAGATGGTTGTTAGCCACCATGTGAGTGCTGGGGATCAAACCTAGGACCTCTGGAACAATAGCCAGTGCTCTTAACCACTGAGCCAACTCTCCAGCCCCCTTTATTTGCTGTTTAAATTCAGCCTGCTACAGTATCATTCATTGTGTAATATTTGTGGAAATCTATTGTGTAGTTGTGAGAAAACAGGAATAAAAAGGTAAATAGTGGGGCTGGAGAGAAGGCTGAGAAGTTAAGTGCATGTAGTGCTCTTGCAGAGGACCCTAGTTGGAATCTCTGCATTCACACTGGGTGGCTCACAGTTGCCTGTAACTCCAGCTTCAGGAGGTCCAGCACCCTCTTCTGGCCTCCACAGGTATCTGCACTCAACACTTGCACTTACTCATACACAGGCAAACACATAATTAAAATAGTATTGTTAACAGAAGAGTTTGACTTTGCAGAGCCTTACAGTGTCACGGGAACACTCAGGGTTCTGGAATTAGTCTTTGAAACTTTGATCTTGGTGACAGGCAGGAAGGTGGAACATGTGGGTACAGACACCAATAGGTAGACAAATCTGATTGGCAGGGCTTCTCATTGTTTGTATTAATGTAGTCATATAGTAGGAATTACAAGAATTTGTGAAATTTCTATTTCATTGAATAGATAAGTAAGAGTTACATAAAGTATAGCATTATTATATTGCTATTGTAAAAAGGAAACCAATTATAATTCATATTTACCATCAATTGAAAAAATATATCCTAATTCCAGAGATGTTAAATATGCAAAAAAAAAAAATTCTCTGTGTGTCAGTGGAACCAAGAGATCTGGCTCACCATGGCCACCGCTCAACTTGAGCAATTCTCTTTTGAGATCTCTGCTCAGGTATAGTTGGGAGCTTACATCACAGAAAAGGATTTCAGTATCAGTAGGAAGCAAAGTTAAGCTTGTTTATAAAGAAAATATTTTAATATAGGCATGTGGAGAGAGAGAGAGGAAGAGAGAGGAGAGAGGAGAGAGTGTTAAGGATAGTTGCACATACCTTAGGGTAGGTTTAGAATTCAAGAGGGAGGGTCATATTTAATATTTCAATATATTAATAAAAGACATACATATGATTTTGGTATATTTTGAAGATACATTATTCAAAGGATTTAAAAGATTAAGTAAAAATGTTTTGGATTTGATCTAAAGAATTCTTCTTGCCAGATTTAGTGGCACAAGCCTGTAGTCCTAGCCACTCCAGAGGCTGAGGCAGGATTATCACAAGTTCAAGGCCAGTCTGAGGAGTCTAGTGAGACCATACCTCAAATATAAAATGGAGCAAAGACTGAGGATGTAGCTCAGAGGTATAGCACTTGCCCTAGCATGTGCAAGGCCCAAGGTTTCATCCCTAGTATTTAAAAAACATTAAAAAGGGAATTCTTTAATAAATGAGATTATAAAGTGGTTTATGAGGTGTATTATGTGGATTTAAAGATAAGAATGAGGTGCTGATTAAGAAGCATCTGCCAAGGCCAAAGGATTCTTAACTGGATCCTAAGCCACAAGGAATCAAGGCATGTGTGTCTTGATTATAAGACATAGAAGTCCTCATGATATTTTCTCAGAAACACAATTCTAGCCCTTTGCAGGTGATTTGATGCCGAAAGTCAGGAGAGACTTAGGTCCAGTTCCAGCGGTGAGGGACTTTTTCCCTCTCCCTTAACTTTCTCATCTTAACTTTCCCTCATCGGGACTAAGAAGTAGAGTCCTTGTCTAGGAAAGTGGTGAGCACTCAGAACCCACTTACCATTCATGGCCACGGTTTTCAATTCAAGTGTCTCAGAAGGCTGCTTTGTTTTGTTTCTTTTTGTTTTCCCACGTCTGTGTAAATGCCAGCAGGCAGACCCTGGGAAGCTGTTTGCTTAAGCATACTACCAGCAAAATTATCCTTCCCATTTTATATTTGGCAGTGAGGAAAAGAAGTCACTGGGGGCCCTCAGAAAACTATAGCAAGGAAAATCAGGAGCAAATCAAGTTCTGGGATAAGAGATCTGTGGATATCCTAGTTTTGAACCTTGCTTTTCTACTATCTGTGTAAGAGGAAACGCTTGAAGGTGATATTCATTCAGGTGTCACATTCTGTCTTCCCTGCACTCCAGCTTTGGCTCCAATGTCCCTAATCTAGAATAAATCTTACCATAGGACGTATGTCTCCTTCGTTTGATTACTAATGACTGAAAGCCATCCTGAAAACTTGTCAGGCTTGGGCATTTTATATCCAGTAACAATTATAAGAGGATGAATTTTGGCCTCAGCTAGCCATTTGCTTTCTCTGGGCCAGAAAATAAGCATACTGCACAGGGGGCTTTGCAGCTTGACGTTCTTAAGTTCTTACGGTGTTTTGGGGTCGCGTTTGCGACCTTTGGAACTCAGATTTAAGGATAAAAACATATACACGGTTGATAAACCAACGCTGTATGGAAAACATATCCATGTGACTAGTAGAAATACACGTTCATGTATAAACTGTGTTCTTGTTTCTTGAGTATGCTCATCTGTGCCCTTCTGCCTCGCAGACCCTTCTTTTCTCCTCAGTAATCCTGTGATCCTGTCTTTTTCACTTCCAGCCACACTTCCCTTGCAGAAGTTTCCAGATAATCTTTTTCCATCATCTTCAAGCCCTGCACTCTACTCTGACTTTACCATTGATTTCAAATGTACATCAGGTGATCCACTGTGGGCTCCCCCAGTCACCCCTCCCTCTTCTTGCTCTTCTCAGAGGTACGGAGCTCCTGTTTCTTCAAGTGCAATGCTTCTACTTTGTGTCTGTGACCATGTCTTCTCTGACCCCTTGAGAGTCCAGACACGCTTCTTCATGAATTGCTTTTTTGAAGCTCATTGATGGTTTTCAACTATAACGGTCTCATTTACTTATGAATTCAGCAGATATATGGGCTTATACCCTGTATTAGAGCTTATATTAATAACGGCTTGAGCAAATACACGAGAGAATAGGGAGCTCATGATCATGAGCAGAAGCTGAGTCAGCTTGTCATACCATCTCTATTGGAGCTACTGAAGCCCACCCTTCCAGCATGAAAGCAGCCAGACACAGGCGGATGGATGATCAGCAGCGGCCGTATTCTAATAGATCTGAGCAAGAAAAACACACACAGGCTAATGTGGGCTGCATGTCAGCTCCCTCTTGCCACCCCAGTCTTGATTCTGTTTGACCCATACATGGTGCCAGTTACTCTTCACCATTTTCATTTTGAAACCTGCTGTCTTAATCTGGAAAG